GACCACAAAACAGACAAAGTAATAAAAAATGAAGACGCTAAAGTGCTCTGGGACTTTAGAATTCAACCAGACAAGCACTTGCCACATAACACTGCAGACTTAACAATTGTTGATAAGAAAGACAAAAAACTCTGGATAGTAGACATTGCAATACTTGGAGACAGCAGAACAGAAAAGAAAGAATTGGAGAAAAAAACCAAAAAATACAAGACCTGCAAATAGAAATAGAATTACTGTGGCAAAAGAAAGCAAAGATAATATCAATAGTAATAGGTGCCTTGGGTGCAATTCCAAAACATCTGGAGCATCACTTGAAGACCATCGGCATTGACAAAATCACCATCAGACAATTGCAAAATTCAGCTTTACTTGGAACAGCTTACATCCTGCAACAATACCTTTAACACCATCAAACAACATCTGCCTATCCCAGGTCCTTGGGAAGGACTTGATAGGCAGATAAAAATGCCAAATCAAGTCTAAACAACTGGCTGACTGTGTGACCAATAATAATAATTTATTAAATTTATATACTGCCTGCCTGACTCCAGTGATTCTAGGGAGAACTGGGCCATAAGAACTGTGGTGAGCCAACTGGGCATTTTGGAGGATTTAAAATGATCCATGTCCTTGCCTATGACTTTGGCTGGTCTTAATTTAGAGCAGGTGTCAAAGCCAATATCTCATCTTGTAACGCTGGTCAGTGTGTCAAATCTATGTCCAGCAAACCATCTGGACTGTTACAGGGCCTTGGAATACAATTTCCTTGATTTTATAACTGACCTACCATGAGTCAAAAGCCTGAATACCATTCTGATGGTAGCTGGTCTTTTTCAAAACGGCATATTTTATTGTCTGTTGTGACCTCCCTTGAACCTTGAGACACCTTGTCTGTTCATTTAAAAAGTTTTCTGGAACCATAATTTGCCCAATCACTTAATGTCTTACAAATGCCATCAATTTGTGGCACATTTTGAAAGTTCTGTTTCAATTACTGGATATTAAGCTTCACCTGTCTTCTGACATAAACCACAGTCAAACAGAGAGGACAAATACTACTTTTGTTGCTCTGTAAATTACCAGAAAGACAATTAGCCTGACCTTTTATCTATAGCTATATTCACTTATAATAAGTAAGTGCATTGCTCACTCAGATGGAGGTCAGTGGCCACTTATGGCTATCACCTGATCTGCTGCTGAATGCTTTCCAGTGCTCCCCTGTTACACAGATGTCTAATAACTTCAAGCCATTCAGCACCTCCTTAAGAATGAGCTGGATTGCCCTAAAGTCTCCTGGAAGCTCTCGGCTATCATCACCAGGAAAGGCTCCCCACTCACCGTTGGAGAAATCCACCTGAGATTTCTCCCTTCCATATATGTATTTAAGAAGCTAGGCGCCAAGTTTATTGAACCATTTCCCATGGTAGCACAGATTATTCCTATGACTTTTTGCATACAGCTTGCAGCCATGTTGAAAATGTATCTAATTTTACATCATACTTTTCTAGTCCTGGATTGTTGCACTGCATTTTGCACACTTCTCCGCCACCATTTCAGTGGTGGAAAATTTTTAATGCATTTTGGATTCTCAATACAGGAAGGGCAGACTGGAATATTTGATTCATCAGAAGGTCTACTTGGCAATGAACATTCTTGGGAGTGGTAGATAGATATTCACGCACCATATCTCCTTCAATTGTTCCTTTTGCAACATTCTCATAAGTGCAAGCTAATTGACTGGATACACAATCAGGCTTCAGTACCAATCAGCAATTCAGATTTTTGGGGGTGGGCCCGTTTGGGTAAGGGGAGGTAGACATTTGTGTGACAAACAAAAGAGAAATAGAGGCTGCCCAACTCAACATGAGAGGAATTGCTGTGGAATGGGGAGGTGTTGTGAAGCCCAGTTGTGAAGTCTGACACTTGGAATTCTCTATCTGAATACCTCCTGTTTATACTGATTAGAAAAAAATCAGATCACCTGATTCCACCACCATTAGTACAGCTTTAAAAACTGAAAACCTTGAAATGACTTAGAGTATTCTAAAATGAATCTCAGCCAATGAATTTCAGACCGAATCTTATATACTGATCATATCTCATTTCACATCATTTAAAAATAAGCCACTTCAATATTCCATTTGCAAAGGATTTCAAGCAACATTTTCTAAACCCCAAATGCCAGTAAATGAGTAAGGAGATACTCATGCCAAGTAATCAGAACATTAAGTGGCAAGATTCAATTTGAAGTAATGTCAATACTTTCACGGAATTGCTTTTGATTGGTCCCTTGGCAAAATAGTTACTCCCTTTGCAAAATGATTAAATGGAAAATAATAAACAATAATGTAAAGAAATGGTAGGACAGCTTTTTACAGCAGTTATGGACCATCTATAGAAACCTGCTTAAATATTTTAAGTGCTTAAAAACCACACTGGAGTATTAAACTACTTTTCCAGTTGGATTTAGGCAGGAAATCTGACTTGGATTTACATTTATCGTTAGCTGGCATTGAGGCCAGGCACTATTACAAGGTACAGAGAGATTAAAGTAGTTGTCTTCCTCTACAGTCATAAAACAAAACTTTTTGTGCTTTGTTAAACAAATTCGGATGGACAAAAAAGAAAGTGACTGCTCTGCATTGTTTCCATTAACAATGGGAACCAGATGGCGATAAGAGGAAGAATAGTTCCATCTTTCAATAAGTTCAAAGCTCAATGTATTATTTTCTTCCAGGAACATATCATTATTTTCTCATTAGTTTTGGAGGTGAGAGCAGGAAGATTCATTTTTTATGTCCCATTATAAAATTAAACACTTAACTATCTAGCATTGTAAAATAAACATTACTGCTAATTTAAACATCTTTGTTTTTTATTCAAATGTCCTCAGTTATTGCTGCTTTTCAGTATTCCTATGTTTATATAAATGGGAACTATAAAGAAGGACATACATTTAGAGATGTGAAGGCCCAGAAAAAAAAATCTGGGGAAATTTGGGGGGAGGATGGGCAAGAGAAGACAGACTTTTTTTTCCTGAGCCTTCATAGCTTTCTAAATGTATTACTGATTCAACATTTCCATTTCACTGCCTCAACTTCCATCTGCTGATGAGGAACCCTGTGGTTGCTTGAAAGATCTTGCATCTCAGACTATACAACTTCCTCACCTTCAAGACATTCTGCTAGTCAATCTGGATGTTTTCCTTTACTGTCACTCCCAGTAAAGTGTGTTGCATCAACATAAAGGGGTTCATTGGAGTAAGCTGGCTCCCATTTGGTCTGCCATAGCTACAGTCCTAGTTGCATTTCTTTTGTGGAAGCACAGGAAAAGCACCTAGTTGCAGGTCATCCTTTCAATTCCATTCACTTTTTTACTAAAATTTATTTTGTTCAAGTAAAAGCTCATTTGTCAGACACACACACACACACACAAAAGCAAAAAGCAATCTAGTCCTACCTATGACTATTAAACAAACGGCTTTTCTGCTCCCGGTGTTTATTATGAAAACTTCTCTTCTGTTAGTCTTTTCACTTCACCTGATCAGTGATCATAACAACTTCACATCAGTCAACTGCCTCTTGCTTACCTGGTACATACAATTAGCCAGGCTAGCAAAGGGGGGATATTCCTCAGATAAATTAAATTAGCAGATATGGGTGGATCTCAGGCATTATTGGAATTGCTGCACATATTGCCCCTCTCTGTTTAGCAGATAATCTACATAGTCACAAACTTCAAATGCAAATTGGGCTACTCCTTATGCAAATATTGATTTTATTTCTGCTAGAGTCTTTTTGATTGCTTTAAATTTTTTTCTTTCCTTTTTGGTGTGACTTTAGCCTTATCTGAATTGTAGTTCAATCAAAAAATATAATGTACATCGATATATAAAGTTATGAAGTGGCAAAGTTTTATTACTTGCATGTCACTTTAAAGTTTTATATAGTGTTATGTATGTTATCTTTTGACTGTCTCTTTTAAATGTTTATTTAATACAACTCCAAAATTATGCAGACATTTATACTACTGTACTGACAAAAACCCAGCATTATCAAGAATAAGGGATTAGAATCTCAGATCCATCATTCCCACTGCAGAAGGGCACCAGACTAAGAGATACTAAACTGGACTAAGAAGCAAAGGACTAGCTCCATTTAACCCTAATCTTGTAAATGCCTGTAATCCACTTTTACCATTATCAGAAGGCAAGTTTTGATAATACACAAGGCTACCAATTAATTCAAGTGGGCCTACATGTTTATAATGCAATGACACAGGATATACTGAATACACCTCTCCCCCTACCCCCATGTAAATAATATGAATTGATACATATTGTACATTCCAAGTCAAATTCCTGATCACATATCACAGTGGTAATTGCAAGCATTTACTTAATCTTCTATATTAGGCTGTCCATATTAGGCATGACCCCCCATAGGTTCTCTTTGATCATTGCTAACTAATTTCATTTCTAGAAACATCTGGTATTCCATCCCAAATACTTGCTAATAAAACTGGCTTGTTTAGCATATCTGTATATGGTAAGCAATTGCATTTGGATGCTATTAAGCCATGTGTTAATATTTTGAAAAGGGGTGGATGTGGAGGCTGGAGTTAGATTATTGCCAACAACACTGAAATTCTTCTTTGTGTGATTGCATATTACAATCATAGTAAGTAACCTACTTAGATAACCTGCTTGGAAATGAATGGTTAATAATTAGTCACTTCTGTGAAGACCTAGTAACCACAAAAGGGCCTCAAACCAGTTCTAGACAGGCTTGAAGGAAGAAATAGGAATAGTATAATGAAATTAATGAAATATACATAAAGCCATTTACAGAAGGGGGGGGTTGGTGGACTTGTTTGAGCTTTATTGCTCAACATGGAGCTTAACAACTCTCTCTGGTTGTCTTATTTTGCCATTGTGGAAAGGAAATCCACAACCTATACAATGCCTCAGATCCAATTCTAAAAAGATGCTTTGGAATGGGTGAGTGCACAGAAATATAATTCTTTAAAACAGCCACAACAAAGTCTTGATAATGACCAAGGGGGTTCCAGTAAAATTCTCTTCCTGATTATCTCTGAACATTCAGAGCTCACTTTGAAATCTTCATTGATGAACTGCTTTGAAACAGATCCAGTCTTGGCTCTTGGTATTTGCCTTTCTGAAGTTAACAGGAATGGCCAGAGTTGCTCCTAACAATCAAGTACCATGTATAGGTTTCACTTCAAGTTTTTAACCTCTCAGTTAGATACAGGAAACATAAATAATTCCCAGAATGGCTGGAGACCTCTACTGTGATTGACCAGCTACAATCTTAAGAAAATTTTAGCCATAAATAATCTTGATGAGAAAGGGTACAAAAGAGAAGCAAGAGAGGATCTCAGATTCTAAGACGTGAGGATCTCCACAACTGCAACCCTGAAAGAGTAGAGTTCCCTTCCTAAAGAGAGTCACTTGGCAACCACTTTGTTGTCTTTTCAACATCAAGTATCATTTGGTTCTCTAAGGCCTTTGGTGGCTCCTTAGGTTCTTTTAAATCAATGCTAGCTTCAGTCTCTGCTCCTTTTGCAGCTCTTTAAGTTATTCTTGTTTTATACTATTTTTATATTCATTTTTACCCATGTTTTTATTGCATACTGCCCTGGCCTAATAGAGCGCCTAATAAATTTAGAAACAATAAGAAGTGAATTAAGAATTAAGTGAATTAATCTTCCTCCTCATGCCAATATTTAGTTAATGTATTTCTTTATTTGCTCTTCTACAGATCAAGAGATGGCAGTGAGTATTTCCCATCAAACAAATGCTAGTATGTATATAAGTCAACCTAGCTGTAGATCTTCTGGCATAACGTCTATGAAAAAGCTAGCATCTGTTCACCAAAACTCAGAAAAGTTGTCTACCTTATTTCATTGCTGCTCCTAACACATGGGATGCTTGAACTATCTTTATGGATTCTAGTATGAATCACCTGATTTTAGATCTGACTGCCTAGACCCGTGGTAGGCAAATTCTGACGTGCTAAAGGCTGCTGAACTAGGACTTCCAGCATGCTGGGTGCTGCATTTGAGCAACATCTAGAACAGGGAGGAAAAGAAGTTTTTTATCTCTAGTTTGACTGAAAATGCCAATTAGATGCTAAGTCATCCATTAGCATTTACGTATCACAGATATTCCAATACAGCTGTTGGCTCCAAAAGTGTTTAAAGCATAGAATTTAAAAGAAATTGTATTGAGGTATCATGTTGAGAAAAAATGCTTTAAATATAGATTTGACCATCTACGGTTGTATAGATTTTTAAAACTGCAGAACCATATGGGAAAAAGAATGGATATGCATTTGGGAGTTGCTTTCTCTGCAAACAGCCTCTCCCCCACCCCCCACCAAAAAAAACAACAACAACCCAACACAAAACAGCCAGCTATAACTATCCAGCTAAATTGGCTAGAAACGCTCCTTGGGCAATGGTGTTGTACATCTTAAAGTCTCTGTTTTTCTGACGCTTCCTTTCCCCAGCTACCTTGATGGGACACCCACCCTAAATCCTTGTAGCATGATTTCACAGTAATAATCCCTCCCATCACCCTTTGACTGCAGTTTACACAGTTATTTCCTCAGCAGACCACCCACAGGCTTTCACCTCCTCCCACACTAGATACATTCTGTACATATATTTTCTTGCAGGTTTTCTCTTTTTTACTGCACAAAGTACCTCACGTATGACATTCCTGAGCTTCTCCCCATGACTTAAATAATGCAGCCTAATCTTACAGTACTCAAAAGGGAAAGGAATTGATTTGTAGAGCAAAGTCTCTTAAAAGGCAAATCTTACCAAATGAAGCCAAAATTAAACAAGCTATCACACCATAGGACTAGATTTGCTCTTTTTAATATTTTGTATAATACTTGACTAAAAATGCCTATTCGGAGTCAGCAGACAGTCACCAACATATCTGGGTAACAACAGCAGAAAGAATTGCTAGGAATTATTCAGGTAGTACTATCTGTGAAATTAATGAACATAAGTTTTGTGCAAGTTGCTTAACATTTACAAGAGAGATGAAGATCCGGTTCAGGCAAAAATAAATAATATTCCTGCATAGTTTTCTCTTTTCTTTTTTCTTGTATTTGTGAGTGAAAACTGCTCTATGAACTTCAACAGATTTATCTATATATCTTGCAGTTTGCTCAGAAGAACTTTAAATTCTAACACAGAATGCATCTTTATGCTACTTTATTGCAATCTATCAGAAGTCATGGAACAAGCAAGACTTACTATTTTTGAAGGTGGAAGCTCTGGCAAACTTTTCTGTGGCGGATACAAATGCTGCTCCATTTCTCCGTTAGTCAAGGAATCTCTGTGACCTAACACCATGGTCCAAAGAGAAATCACAACAAGCAAGTGATCATTACATACACCATATTCAGCCACAATCTCAGATGCTCTACTTCTGTTTTGAAAGAAACATACGATTAATTAGCCCACTTAGTCTAGATGACAAAAATGGCAATTGATTCCACTTCAAAAATATGGTGACAAAGTAATACAGCCCAAGACACATGTTTTTGATAGTTGTGAGATTATTGGTAATGCTTCAGTTGACATTGAAAACTGCAAAGACCATGATGTCTTAAAAATAATCAATCTACTTGTAAGCCCAGTTGATACCTAAATCAAGTATTTTAAGTATTCACCCTTTCATTACTGTTACTGAAGATGATTTAAAATAGCAGGCAATTCAGTCTTTTCAGTCCAAAGAAGCAGAACCTGACTGAGAAAAAGCTAATTCTGGTTAAGTGAGTAAATCCTGCCAACCTGATTTTCAGCTAGTTTGCAAATGTAATGTGGTCTTTGGTCAGCTGTTACACTATTGTTCTGGGATCCACATGCATTAGTGGACTAGAAAGGAGATACAAGCAGTATTGACAAAGAATGGAAAAAACTGTTTCATTCTTCAGGGCTTGACAATGTGTGGAAACAAATGACTACAGTACTTGCTTAAAATCCCTGAAAAATTTATTTCATAGTGGCTATAACCATATAAAACATCTGGTGTTGTCTCCTGAATTCAGTAAGCATTTGGATTTTTAATGGATCCAAGGACTTTTAAATTATAAATAAGCATAAACCTGAGATAAGTAAGCAATCCAGCATTCTCCATATGTCTTGGACTACCACTATCACAATTATCTCCCATTGGCCATGGTCACTGGGACTGATGGAAGTTGAAATCCAAAGCACTGAGAAGAATACTGAATTGCATATTCCTGGAACAGAGAAAACAAATTAAGTATTTCCCATCTATCACCCTTCAGGTGTATTAAGCCAGGGTTCCTCAACCTCAGCAACTTTAAGACAGGTGGACTTCAACTCCCAGAGTTTCCCAACCAGCCATGCTGTCTGGGGAATTCTGGGAGTTGAAGTCCACCTGTCTTAAAGTTGCTGAGGTTGAGGAACCCTGTATTAAGCTATCTCCAATAATTCTTAGCCTATTATAATATACCTCCTATAACTATTTTCTACATTTCCTATCAGCATGATCAAGGCTGTCTAAAATAACATGAGGGACATAATCCAAAATATGTGCAAAAGACTGAAGGAATCAGACCTGTCATTTTCTAGTATGGTGACATAAGAGAGAAGAACACGATTTCTGTACTTGGGAATTATTTTCATGTAGAAAGAGGTTATATTTGAAGTCACTTCAAGCATCTCTATAAATATACCAAGCAAAACTGTCACTGAAAACAGGAGTATTCTAAACTTGGATGATCTGATAGCTACCCAAATGGTACGCAGTGGTTACCAAGACGCTGGAAAGAATCTGGCATGAACTTTGTTACATTCTTCTACAATTTAAAAATAAAGTTAGAACCACAGTTCTTTTTGGACTGAGCCTGGGAAACCACAATAACAGCTTTGCATCTGAAACTTTTAAGGGTGTTCTGGCATAAGAAGGGAAGCAGCAAAACAAACTATGTATAGTATAGCAACGTTATTAGCCAAACAAATCAGACATCTGGTGTTCTTCCCATGGCTTCTCAGATTTTCTGCTTCTACACATCTTAATGACATACAGCAGGGTTACAGCCTACATTTTTCCATCTATAAATCCCAAAGTGGAACCAGTTGTAGGTTCAACTCAGGCAGGGCAGCTGCAGAAACTAAAATGGATTAAGTAATAAGGACTTATCAAACCAACTCTCTGTTGGAGGATGGATACATGTACAGATCTAATAATTAAGGAATCATTCTAAATATGGAGCTTTTAGTATTCCTGGTATTTAGTATTCTATGTATGGAGCTTTTTAGTATTCATAGAAAGAAAAACAATGCATACAAAAAGCTTCTGAGGGCAAAATGTCCCTCCACCTGGAGGCCACAGACAGTTATTATCTACCTTAGTATCATGGAATAGAACATACTATATGTGGCAGTCCCCCATGCTTTGGTATGGATGTACATTATACAGTTGGAAAGTGCTATTCAGAGATGCTGCATGAACACAGAAGAGCATTGTAATATGTTTTTAACAATTCATATTATCTATTAGGTTAGTGAATTAAGCCAAACAAGACAAAATACTTGATATATAGCTATTTTTCACTATAAGGAAGCAAAGGTATCAAAGAATACAGACAAACCTGATGATTTCCACACAATATGATCTCTCTTTTTTCTCACGTGAATGGTAATGCTTGTGCTTCTAGGACAGCTTACTTATTTCAAGCTTGGTGCCCCCTAGATATGTTGACCATAAAAGCATTTGATGCCTACCTTTGTTGTCTTTCTCTGGTTCTCCATGTAGTTTATTGATGGTTACTTTGTTCATATAAATGTATTCTTCATCACCACCTACAATGTAAACATAACTGCCTTACTGCTTTGTATTTTGTTGCATACATGTACAGCCTCTCTCCAGTGATGCATGGAACCACCATTCTCATTATCATCATCTAGCAGGACCCTTGCAGGTACCAAGTTCCGATGAGCTAATGTATATGCTTTACTCTATGGCAGATATTTTAAAAGAAGTTCTAAAAAATTTTGTTCTTCCCTTCCAGGAGATGCCCTGTTCTCATGACTTATGGCTGAGTAGCACTTTACTGGACTTCCTGCAGAGTTTATCTAGATTAAAATAGAGAAACTATAACTTTGCAAAGGACCTAAGGGAAGGTGATTCACCCCTTGCAAATTAGTTTTATTACTAAATAATAAACTTCAGTGAATAAAAATACTTTATGATGCTTAGAATAAAAGGAATGGAATACATTTTATTCCAGACTCTTATGGATTTTGCTGCCATCTTGAATGCATTTAAAGTTATAAAGCAAATTAAGAGAACCACTACTGAATAAAAAATCCATGGACATTTGGCCCCACTGCTATTTGTAAATACTTTTTCTTTGTAGACCCATTCTGAGCAGCTCATTAGAACAAGGTTTGCATCTGATTAAACAGATTCCAGTCCTCAAACACATATACCCCAATAAATTTGTTTTCATGCTGACAAAGGATATTTGTTTCCTTTTTACATCTCATTTGGGAACCAGATTCAAACAAAATGGAGAAATAGGTAAATGGGGGTACCAGCAACTTGCTACAGAAAGGTACAAACTCTCCCAAACTCAACAAACGTTCACATGATTTTGCTTACCACTTGACTTTGTGCACAGCCGAAGGAGATCAGCCAGGAAGCTCTTTTTAACTACAGCTGTGCTGCTGAGGTTTTCCTTATCTAGTATCTTCAGAAAATCTTCCAGTTCTGTGAGCAGTTGTTCCAAAGCTAAAAGAGATATGGAATAAACTAGCTTATTTGCTGTGCCTAATGCCAGATCTAGACAATGTATTCATGCTGACTTTTATATAATCCAGAATTTTTTAAAACAAGCCTTTGTTTTTGTATAATGAGGGTTGCAACCCCTATTATATGTGTCTGTTTGTGTATCACCTCTTTTTTCCTAGTTTTGGATCAGCCTAAAATGTTCTTACCAGCACTGGGAAAAGCATATGTGAAAGGAAAATAGGGATAGGTAATCCAGCTCCATTGCTCCCCCTCTTGGTAATGTGGAAAATATCAAAGATATTAATTACATATATTTCTTGCTCGCAATCACCTTGGAGGCAAATAGTATACTGTACATAAGCCTTTTACTCTGTGCAACTTATGCTGGGCTCAGAAAGTACAAGAAAGAAAGGAAGAAAGGGAACCTAGGAAATCAAGGACTCTCTCCCCCCACTTTTCTTCTTTTCCCTCTGCTCAGGAATGGAAATAATCTACCAATTCTAGGGAGAGCCTTTGTCATATGGTGGGAACCAGTCTCAAAGCAGCCTTACTTGCAGCTGACCAGTAACTGGCCTGTTCCATTGTGTAGGATAGTCCGTGGTAGGACCATCACCTTGTGGTCAGCCTGGTATAGTGTGACCCACCAGTCATATTTCTTTCAAGCTCCTTCATCTGAAGAAGCTCTTCTCTTCTAAAGGATGTTTTGCATTACACTCAATGGGCCTTGCTTCTGAGGTAAGATGGATTGCCTAAAGCTGTGGGCTAGTACACAGTAAAGCTCACTGAAAACAATAGGACAGCCTGTAAAGTAACTGGGTATGGAATTGCATTGCCACAACGTCTAGGCAATCTTCTCTTAAGTATTATGGGAGCTGAAATTCAACATATTTGGAAGACACCAGAAGGGGAAGTGCTGCAACACAAGGAGGGTTTGAAGATGGAGGCAAGGATTAAGAAGAAGAAAGAAATCAGAACAGATGAGGTGTTTACACACACACACACACACACATGCAAAAAATATTAGGACCAAATAAAGATAACCCCAGGAAAAATTAGGATTAAGCAAAGTGTCAGTCCTTTCATCCTAATCAGCCTGCCCCAATCTGGGACTACAATATTTCATTATCTGCAATCAGCAGTAGCTATGCCAACTGTGGATGATATGAATTTCTGGAGGACTTCAGGTTAGAGAAGGTTGTCCATTCTCCTTGCTAGTCCAACATTATTACAGTATTATGTATTATAACATCTTTCCTCCAGAATATCTTTGTGAGTAAATTATGAGGAGAGACAATATTACAAGCAAGTTCATGATGGAGCAGGGATTTGATTCTACATCTTCCTAGTGATAGTCCCTTTTTCTTTAACATAAAAAGGGGATTGAATGATTATATACAATGAGGCTAAGAATATAAACTATTAATTCAAATACATAGAAGTCTGAACAGCTCTTAAGGAGACAATTCTATTTTCCTGCACCTACCTATCCACACCACTGCATGCATATATTTTTCCTTTTCCTCCTCTTATTCTTCCTCCACCTACACCCTCTTTAAAATATCTGTCTAAAGAAGCCTTCCCAAGTTGGTGTCCTCCAGACTTGTTGGACAAAACAATCCCCAACAAGCATGACCTAAAACCTTCCAAGCTGGCACAATTCCTTTTCTCAAGAGAATGTCTTGGCAAAAGGCAGCTTCCTTCTAGCTGTGGCTTCATTCTTTGCTGCAGAAAAGCACCAGACCAGCTGATCATTTCAATACTGTTGTGGAGCAAGCATTCAAGTGGCAGAATGGCAAATGCTGTTGACTCACAATGGATTTCCCAGCCTATCCTACAAAGAACATTCCAAGGCTGACAAGGGTCAGCTGCTGTAGGGAAAGAGAAAGTAAATTACAACAACAGCAGAAGAATGCTATTCTCTCTAACAGCAAAAAGAAACAGATGTGCTGACAGTGGCAGATGAAAACAGCTGGATCACTTTGAATGGAGACTGACCTTCCTAAAGGAACCAATTGCATATATATTTGAACAAGGGAACCCTCCCGTGCTGCTCACTTGCCTGAGACTTCAAGGAAGAATGGGCTAAAGCAATGCGTAATTGTCTACAACAGAAGGACAAGAAATGTCTGCCTTCTCTGATCTGCTCCAGTTACTACTAATGAATTCAGCATAAGTAAAATAAGAGTGAATGCTGATCATCCCATTTTGGGGAGAGGTTCTGGAAAAGGCTGAATTGATCCAGGAATGAGAAAAAACAGCCATTTCTCATTTGATTTTTCAACTTCTTGCCATGTAACTATTAAATTGGTATGGTCTGGCAAATTAGCATTGTTTTGTTCCTATCAACAAATCATTCGTCAACCTTATTAGTACACCATTTTTACTATACAGCAACAATATCCATGTCTTCCTATATATGTATGTGTATACTGTAATTACACTTCATAATGCTTTGGAATAAATGATACTATACTAAGTTTGCTTATTTTTTAAAATGAATATTTTTAACTGGATATTTCATGTAGTGTGCATGACCCCAATAGTATTCTAGAGATATAACAATCCATGTCCAGTTTAATTTTGATAAAATTGGTGCAATGTGCCTTTAGAGCAGGGTTCCTAAATATTTGGATTCAATTAACAAATTTGGAATTATAATAGTGTGCTGTAAGCACTCTTATCAAATGGCCAATTCAAAAAATGCATTCCCTCAGATGAGGATAAACAAAAAGTAACCTGCAAAAGACACAAGTAGAAGATAGAGCTCCAATGCATAAAACCAGTCTTCTGAATCCAAAACATTATCTTCCATACCCATTTTACAGAATGTAAATTGAGGAAGCTCAGAGACATGTATCTAAGTACAAGAATAAACCTAAATGCTAAACAAAAAAAATCTCATATCACAGAAAACAAATCAATATTCAGGGATGCGCTCACAAAGAGACATGTATCTATTCAGATGATACATTCTTGCTCAACAAACTACATGCATTGTATAACTCACATTTAAATGAACAATTTCCCAAACTCTCCTAGACAAATAAATACAGATAAAATATTCTATACTTGTAGATGAGATGCTCTTCCTTCCTTCCTTCCTTCCTTTCTTTTCTTTCTTCTCTCTCTTTCTCTCTCTCTCTTTCTCTCTCTCTCATCCCCCCCCAAGCAAAGCAGTTACATCAAAATGTATACAATTGACACATCTGTAAATACAGGTAGTAATTATTTAGCAATCACAGTTGGGACCAGCAACTTAGTTGTTAAGTGAAGTGGCTGCTAAGTGAAACTGCAACTGTGCTTATGATCTTACCTCAGCTTTCCTTTGCTTTACAGACCTGCTAAAGTCATTAATGTGAGGACTGGTCATAAAGTTACATTTTCATCACCCTTGTAACTGTGGTCACAGTTAACAAGGCAGTCGCTAAACAAGGACTACCTGCAGAACACATCACTCCTGCACAACATTGGAATTACCAATGAAATGCAACTAGTTATGGCATCCAGTTGGCCCAATTAGTCTCTTCTGTATGTTATCTGCCAGGACTGCAGGGATAGGCCAGAAGCGCCTCAAGATAAGTGACTGGTAAGCTACATTTCTGACTTTATGAATCTCAAAGAATAAAATCCTCAGCAAGCAAACTAAAACCAATTAGAAGAAATTGGAAGAAAATATCAATTGTTCATAGGACACTTGCACAAAAACATACCAAAGCATTTTTTTTTCTCCCTAAATAGTTTGCACTGAGCAGCATTTTAACTTAGTCAGGTATTTGTGGGAAACATTGCAGGGTTGGTACTTGAGAAAATGTGAATCACAGCAATCTGACAAGAAAACTTGTCTTGATGTGCAAACTGTTAGTAACAAATAAAACATGAATATGCAGTCACTGTGCAAACATTATGATCACTGCAGTGCCAGTAAATCAAAATCATATTTCAGTTATACTCAGTGCACAAATTCAGAATCCTATTTGCAAAGACTACCCTTATATTTCTATAAGATACAAACCAGGGTAATCAAGACACTGAGCCTTGTTGTCTGCAGGCTGAAAGCTCAACTGTGGAACCTGATCAGTACAATATGGGCCATTCTGGAAATCTGGACAATCATTTTATTGAATGAACTGTCACTGCTGAACCAGGAACTCTGAACTTCAAGTAAGAGACACACAAGGCTTTCCAGTTTGCTGAACAAATAACAGACTAGCTTCTCTCCTCTTCACTGGAAGAAGGTAGTGGGAGGATTGGGGTGGGAGTGGGGAAAGAGAGGCAGAGAAATTTCTTGAAAGACATTCAGAAGCCTTAATCGAGAAAGTGCTGTTTCTTTCCTTCCCTACAATTACATGCATCTTGGTACTTTATTACAGTTTTCAAAACTAAGATCCTGTCATAAACAAAGGCGCTTTCAGCTCTGCCATGATGAACTTTGGCTTAAAATACTGTTCTGAATTTAATCATTGCACAGGAAGCGTCACTTGGATGGAAATCCTCAGCTTGAGGATTTTGAATTCACAACTGTAACCTCCCTTCCTCCTCTTCTTAACAAGGCTGCATATACTGTATTGCTTAAGAAGCTTTTGGGACAAAGGGGCCTCCAAATCTTCAAAAGTGCAAGAGGCTGGTTACCCCACAGACACTTTCTGGCTGTATGGTTGCAGATTTCATCAATTCTACAGTACTTTTGCTTACTTGTCAAGGAAGAGAAAGTGAATGCTTCAGGTACACAATATTCTACTTTAAGTCTTAATAAATTGTGATCCAGGATCACTGGCCTTTCTAACTCCCTATTGTCTCTGGCATGCTCTGCTGGCTTGGGGTTAATACAGACTTTTAGCAGCTCTTCAAGGATTCAGACAAGGATTTTTCCAGACCTTTCCTTGAGATGGCAGGAGCTGAGCCTGAGATTCTTTGCCTACCTGACACAGAAATATGGTCATTCCTATTAGTTATATACTGAAGGAAATATGATCGTTTCAACTTTTCAGCTTCAAAACAAA